TCCCGCACAAAATATCTTATGCATAGTGTAGTCTAATAATGTGGAAATGACATGCAGCTGCAGTAAATTCACCAAGAGTATTTCTTAAAAAGAGGGACAGACGTCTGCAATTAATGTTCTTCTACAATTTTCATTAGTTCTGGAATGAGATGGATAATCACAGGCAAACGCTTAACATTCCAAGAACACTTTAAGTAGGGCATCACCACAGCTGAAACTTGAAAGTTGCATAAATCATTTTTCCTTTACTTTCAAGGGCAGATGGCTTCTTTCTCATTATAAATGTTTATTTCCTGATTGTATAAGAGAAATCTAATTTAAAAAATACACAGGAATCCTTGGAAATGGATCAACACTCTGTAACAGTCTATTATAAAAAGCCTATACAACAAAGGCTAAAAATTATTTTTTACTCTTCAATCACTTACCCTATTATGACGCAGGCACCGTTTTAATAGCTCCTCTGCCATGTCATATTTTGCTGATTGAATATAAATATCAGCTAGTAGCAGCCAACTCTTCTCAAACTCCTCAGCATCAATAGGATTCCAACTCATTTTTGCAATCCGCTTCAGCTGGTTTCTGGCTCTTGGAGTTTGTTTCAAGATCATATAAGCTGTTGCCATTCCCAAAAGTGCTGGAATATGATCTTTCTGTAAGAAAACAAAACTTCATACTCCCAGATACACAAACATTTAAATGTTCTATGTTTAAAAGGAAAAACATGTGGATAGTAGCAAGCACTACACGATATAAGCACTGGCCTAGGAATGCTGTTTCTGGTTCCATCACAGGTTACTGGGACTCTGGTACTATGAAACTATGGTACAGAGTATTGTGACTACTGCATGGTAGAGATAATTCAATAACTATGCAGATGTCATAACCATACAATTCCAGACCATCAGTCTAACCCAACCGTTAATGAGACTGAGTGGCTGCTTTGATTTTGTGCAAAAACAGACAAAAATATATTTCAGAATAATCCTTATTGACCAGTTTGTGCTTGAGAGTCATTTTGGCTCCTTAGTTCTTTCACCTGTCAAATGGGAATAATAACAAACAGAATTATTTACCTGTAAATGATAATGATACTACTTATCCATATTGACTTCTATCACTTTTTTCCTCCCTTCTCCTTTTTGATTCAAAGAGCCTCTTCTCCCAATAAACTTTGACTAATGAAACGTTATAGGGAAGGCATGTAATTAATTAATCACTTGGAAATCATATGAAATAAACTCATGCCTTGAAGTATGCTTTTAGATATGCAACTTCCTGTTAGTGTCTATAAAACATGATGTTCTTTTAGAACAGAGTTCTAGGTCAGAAAATGTCAGCAACAAGCTAACAAGAGTCGTTGTACAATAGAAGCTACTTGCTATCTGTCAAGAAAACTAACTTACCTAAGCAATAACGTGTATGGTCCTCATAAAGCTAGGGTGCTTCTTAAAGTTTAGCAGAGGGTCTGGGATGCTTTTATAAAGAGGAAGCATTATTTAAAATACAAATAAAAGATGAGGAACTGACTGAGAAGTCATAATATCACAACAATAATAAAAGTACCCTGTAGGACAGCAACTGTGGGTAACTAATATCACAAGGGAAGGTGGAATGTAAAATGTTCAGTGTCCAACACTGATCATGGTTGGGTGTCAGAAAAGACCCTGGAATAGAGGACAATTCATTAGAGCTTGATGAAAACAGCTTTTAGGAATATAAAATTTCCTTGGCTCTAACTACATGCTTATCAGTAGTCTTCTAATGTACAATTTGTTTTCCTAAGTAAGGTATGGTAAAAACGTTTCATTTGAGTTCCAAAACCAATCAACTGGTAGTAGTTATCAGGAGCACTGTGTTGAGAATTTTAAAAACGTGTGGAATGTTATCAGTTAAAGAAGTCCGATAGGGCTAGAAGGGGAAACAAGATAGAGGCTTATTATGTAATTGTCAGGCAAGTTCCAAGATGGCCTAAGAAGAGAAGAGTCCTTTGAAAATGTCTCACATTTATTCACATATTAAAAACATCCCACACTATACATATAAAAAACAAGCTCTCTAAATTTAAAACCACATACCTTGAGTTTGATTAGAATAAATCCATTCCTCACAGCTTGATGACTCCTGACTCAATTAAAGAAGTTTCTAAAATTTGCATACTTGAGTTCTAACCCATGTGCATTAGACCCATGATGTCTTTTCTAGTGCAGACATCCAAAAACGTTCAGCCAGCTATCCTCTCTCAGTCTTTCGCTCTCGGTTACTCTAAACTGCAATCATTTTAGACCACAAAGGACAAGATTTATATGAGGACAATATATGTATATCGTAAACAATACCATTTCCTCCCATGACTTACTGTCATATGCCTTTTTTTCAATCAATGTGAATCTCTCATAGTGCTGTGAATATACCCTATGCTTTCCTGTCTCCCTGCCTTTCATATTTTCCCTTTACCTAGAGTGAGCTTTCTCCATCTTTCCCCGTGAAAACAGTTTGCCCTGGTTCTTCTTAAATCATACTTTCTCTACAAAAGAGTCTACCTATTCTCCTTATATTGTCTTCTACAGCACTTTTATCTGCAACGTTAGGATAGAATATATTTTGCTTTGTATTACTGTCAGTGTACTTGTCTCATCTTCTAGAGACTAAGATAAACTTGAAGAAAGGGACTATACGTGGTCTATCTTTATGACTTCTCCACTGTGTTCCGCCCCAACTGGCACCTAACAACAACAAACGTGAGTCAAAAAAAAAAGGCAAGATAACATTTAGTGTTTACGAAAGTTCAGCTCATGCATGAGTTTGTAGATAATGAATAATCTGGTTAATAGAACAGATCTGAGGATAGTATTATTACTAGTCACAAATGTAAGAATGATAAAAAAATAATGCAGTCCCATCAACACAGAAAACTGGTGTAGTTTTTCTAGGCAACAATTGTAATGTAACTCACTGCTTCTGGCTTTCTCTCTAATTTCACAGTAGGAACAACAGGTTTGTTCAAAATAAACTCTCTCATTGTTACGTGACAGAATGCCACTTCACAACATTCAGTAGCTGTGACACTTCAGCTGAAACTGTGCTTCATCATATTCTTACAGATCTTCTTACATATGATTGACCTACTGCTGTTCTCTGTTCATTCAGCAGCTGTTATCCATCTTCCACACATATCCAATTCAGCAGAGCACACCCCTGAGAACATTGCTCCAATGTCTGCAGAAGGGCTCTGCTCTAGGTATTACTGCTGTTGATGTTACCTTGCTGTTTTATACTAGGGGAGGCTCAGGGATAATAACGCTGCCACCTAGAATACTTGCACCCAGATGGCAACAGGAGTTGTGGTCTCCCAATTTCCTCAGCATCTGAATCTCCTCCAGGGTCCCGGGACTCCCTTTCAGGGAAAGAGAGGGTCACTGTAGGAGAGTTGCAGTAGTTTGTTGTTATAACGTGACTTTAGGATCACAAGAAAACACAGCAAAATTCTGCGTATTCTCTGAGAGACATAAAATGATGAGTTTTTGGTGGCCTAAGATATTGTAGAGTGGAAGAACAAACATACAATCCAATGAGCATGCTCAGAACTAGCTACTGCCAACCACTGATGGAGTAGGTACCTGGAATTCCTTTCTTAACATCATGTAATTGACGAAATATAGCACTGTGTGGGGAAGGAAAAATGCAACACCCAGAGAACGAAAAGGGAGGTGGTTGTGAGTGGGGTGAAAAGAGTAAGATTCTTATCAGAATAATGATAAAAAAGGGTAAGTTTTCATTTTAGATTGCTGGAGGTTATTTCAATGTTGCTAAATAACAGCATCATTATTTTTATGTCTGAATTGTAAGTCTGTCAGTATTGATCTCATTTAGCTGAGCTGGAAAAATTCCAAGTTGACATAAGTGAAAAGGTGAGATAGTAAGATAGCTAGATTTTTGACCTAGTAAGTTAATCTAGGTTATATTTACAACATAGAAATTCTCCAGGGAATAAAGCAGTTCCCTTGAGAGTTAACTTATACCTTTCTGAAGAATCCCCTTTCTCAAGAATCCAGCATTCCAACAGAGATAAATATATCAAAAATGTATCAAAAGAGTAAAAGTGTCTCTTCTGGAAACAAAGGTACATTGTGTAAAACTATGTCAAATCATGTGTCTAATTTTTAATAATAATTAAGACAATTTTCAGAAAATATGTATCCGTTGCCATCTAGTCGATTCCGACTCATAGCAACCCTACAGGACAGAGTAGAAATGCCCCATAGTTTCCAAGGAGCGCCTGCTGGATTTGAACTGCCGATCTTTTGGTTAGGAGCTATAGCACTTAACCACTATACCATCAGGGTTTCCAGAAAATACACAGCTAATCAAAATATATATATTTCTATACTACCAAGGAAAGAGAATATACTCAGTTGAAAAGAAAATCTACTAACCTCAGATGTGGCTATTTCGGTGAAGGTATTTAATGCTTGCTCAACATTTGATTTTTGCTTGGTAGCCACTAGGCAATAGTTTTCCATTATGCGAAGCTGGACATGACCCTGAACAGTCTGAGGTTTTAGTTCCTTGAGGAGTTTTTCTGCTGTTCTCACTGCTAATTGTACAGACTCTTGCTTCTCAGTCGAA